CAGAGCACTTGAGATCAGAAGGTCAAGACCAGCCTGGCCAACTTGGTGAAACCCCATCTCTATTAAAAATACAAAAATTAGCCAGGTGTGTTGGTGGATGCCTGTAATCCCGGCTAATCAGGAGGCTGAGGCAGGAGAATCGCTTGAACCTGGTGGGGTGTGGGGGTGGATGTTGCAGTGAGCCTAGATCATGCCATTGCACTCCAGCCTGGGAAACAAGAGTGAAACTCTGTCTCAAGAAATATATATATGTTAATTGGCCGTAGATATGTAGATTAATTTCTGGGTTCTCTTTTCTGTTCCATTCATCTATGTGTCTGTGTTTATGCCTGTATCATGCTGTTTTGGTTACTAGAGCTTCATAGTATATTTTGAGTTCTGGTAGTGCGATACCTCCAGCTTTGTTCTTTTTGTTTAGGACTGCTTTGGCTATTTGGGGTCTTCTGTGGTTCCATACAAATGTTAGGATTTTTTTTTTCCTCTGAAAAATGTCCTTGGTATTTTGATAGAAATTGCGTTAAATCTGTAGATTGCTTTAGATAGTATTCTCATTTGAACAATATTAATTTTTCAATTCATGAGCATAGGATGTTTTTTCATTTGCTTGTATTCTCTTCATTTTCTTTTGTCAGTGTTTTGGGGTTTTCCTTGCAGACATCTTTCACCAACTTGGTTAAATTATTCCTAAGTTTGTGGGTTTTTTTGTAGCTATTGTAAATGGTGTTGTCATTTTGATTTCTTTGTAAGCTACTTTGTGGTTTGTGTATAGAAATGCTACTGATTTTTGTATGTTGGTTTTGTATCTTGCAACTTTACTGAACTTGTTTATCAGATCTGAGAGTTTTTTGGTAGAATCTTTAGATTTTTCCATTTATATAAGATCATTTCATCTGCAAACAGGGACATTTTGACTTCTTCCTTTCAAACAGTTTGAATGCCCTTTCTTTCTCTTACCTAACTGGCCTTGCTTGGAGGAATTGTTACGTCTGATGGAGAATATAGGGACTTTTAATTCTATATCCTTAACTACCATTTTATTTATTTTACCTGAGCATGTACATTTTATAATGTTAACAAAACAAAGCATAGTAGTTTTCAGTAATGATCAGTATTATAGCAGCAATCACTAACTGGCCTTTGGTGATTTAGATTTCCTTGGTGAGTTAGAAGTCTAATGGGAGTAGTTTGGGAATCTGTATCCTAACAGATGTTTCAAGTGGTCCCCATGGTCAGATAACTGTGCTAGAGAAAGAGTGAACTGCATACAAATACGCGTAATTAAGATTAAGAGGAAGTTATCATAGAAAGGAAATTTTAAAAATGAGACTGCTTTGAATGGTGCTTAACTAAGAAATTATAAAATTTGGAGATGATAAATGATTCTCTAGGAAATTATCAAATCTTAGAGATAGAAAACATGGTTTATTTCAAATAGAATGGAAGAAACTGAGAAACATATGAGAGCTACTGCCTCACCTGTATCACAGATGAATTATTTCAAATCATCATGAAACACATTAATTCCTAATGATTTAAGTATTTCAGAGAAGAGAGAAAAAAGTAGTTTGCTAGTTCTGCTGAAAAAGCCAATATAACACCAACTCCAAAGCATGGCAAAGATTATATATGCTTTAAAATTTAATTGTTCTAAGACTGTGGTTAAATATTTTATAAATATTATTTGAAAAGTAATACACTGTGTTTAAACGAAACTCATTCCAGGAATCAAAGAATGGTTCTGTGTTAGGAAATCTGTTAATGTAATTACTAATATCAGTGGACCAGAGAAAAACTATGATATTTAGTTTTCTGCCCAAAATCGAGATATGATAAAATTAACATCTTTATGTGGTTTTTGAAAATATAAAATCCAAAACAAGATTCTTAAAAGAACAGAACTAGCCTAATAGTTTCTTTAACAAAGGTGTTGGCAGAGTGTTAGCCAGTATCATACTTAATGTTAAAACACTAGAAATGATCTTGTTCAAGTTTGGAACAAAACCATAAATGAGTTGCTGCCCCATGTAAAATCTCAGTTTATTCTGACAAATGATTCTTAGGATTATTTAGAAGAATAAGTATATGAGAGAAATTTCTAAACAGGAAAAAATTGAGGGGTGGACTAATCCTATCAGATATTTAAATATTTTGAAGCTAAAGTAACTAAAACACTGGTTGCAGGTCCAGGAATAGCATACAAAACTGTAATATAAGGAGCCCAGAAATAAGCACATATAAATATAGGAGTGGCTTTTCAAGTTAATGGAGAAAAGATGAATTTTTAAATAAATGGTTAACTTTTTCTTTTTTGTTGGTGGGAGGGCGACAGAGTCTTGCTCTGTTCCCCAAGCTGAAGTGAAGTAGCACCATCATAGCTCACTGCAGCCTCGCTAGAGCTCCTAGGCAAAAGTGATCCTCCCACCTCAGCCTCCTGAGTAGTTGGGACTACAGGCATGTGTCACCACATCCAGCTACTTTTAAATTTAATTTAGTTTTTTATGTAAGTGAGGTCTCACCATGTTGCCAGGGCCGGTCTTGAACTCCTGGCCTCAAGCAGTCTTCCTACCTTGGCCTTCAGAGTGTTGGGATTACAGGCATGAGCCACTGCACCTGGCCTCAGTAGTTAACTATTGAGGAGGATCAAAAAGATACTTAATTTGCTTCTCATTCCAATTCCAGTTTGGTCAGACTTGTATGTTTTCAATATTAATCATAGACATTCTAGAAGAAAACGTATATAAAGACCTTTCTTTTTAAGTACAGCAAACCCAAAAGTCCTAAAGGGGTAAATGACAAACTTGTATAAAAATTGGTAAATTCTGTACCAACAAAACAGCTTTTTAAAAAAATTTTTTAAAGACAGGGTTTCACCATGTTGGTCAGGCTGGTCTTGAACTCCCGACCTTAGGTGATCCGCCTACCTTGGCCTCCAAAGTGCTTGGATTACAGGCGTGAGCCACCACGCCTGGCCCCCAAAACAGCTTTTTATGAAAAACAGATAATTTGGAAAACAACATGTACAGAATGATCTGGCTTCTGCCTAAGTCATCCATCAGCTCCATATACACACTTAGAGCTACATTCCGGTCTTTCCTTCATGAGAGTGCTCAGTAAATAGTCATTGATTAAATGAATTAATTCCATGACAGTTTGCAGGTCAACATCTATAATGTAATAAAACTTTTTTTTTTTTTTTTTTTTGGAACCGCAGTTTCAGTCTGTCATCCAATCTGGAGGGCAGTGGCGCTATCTTGGCTCACTGCAACCTCCACCTCCAGGGTTCAAGTGAACCTCCCACCTCAGCCTCCTAAGTAGTTGGAATTACTAGTGCGCACCACCACACCTGGCTAATTTTGTATCTTAGTAGAGTTGGGTTTCACTGTGTTGACCAGACTGGTCCTGCAGTCTTGACCTCAAGTGATCTGCCTGCCTTGGCCTCCCAAACTGCTGTGATTACACGTGTGAGCCATCACCCCCAGCCATAATAAAACTTCTTAAAATGAATAACAATCCATTTAAAGTTGGGCAAGTCAGGAAAAGAAATGTAAATGGCTAACAAATATAAAACTTTTAATAAATACCAATTAAAACAACATTGAGATTCTGTCTCCCTTCTTGAACACTACCTCCTCGTTTCTATCCATTTACCTGATATCTTCCTGAAATGTCAACAAACTACATACTGTGATCTCCTTTTAGGTCTTCCCTTTGTCTAGCATATACCTGCCATGTGTTAGATGCATTGTTATGTAAACAGAAGTATCTAAGATGTGTAATGATCCTCTAAGAGGTGTCAAGTGGGAAGAAAAGGGTAGAGGATTGGAGCTGTGTAGTGTAGCCTTCCTTTTTTAATTCTCCTTTTCCTCATAGTTCCCTTAATGGTATTAACCTGCCTCTTTATTCTCTTTGCCCTTTTAAATTTCTTCAGAAGAACATGCCCCTTAGTGGCAGGAACAGGAGCTTATTCATAACAGTGCTGGTCAGTCAGCAAAAACGACTCTTTTTGTGCATGTAAACAAATGGTTATTATTGTTGTGACACAACAACTTAATCATTAATAGATGCTTTTTTTTTTTTTTTTTTTGGAAGTTCTGTGATTACTTTTCTTCAGACTTAATGCCACAGCATCTCAGATACCTTATCTTCCCTTGAATGTTTTGGAAAAATAGACTAAAACTGCTCTCTCTATACAAAAAGTGGTATTATTTGAAACGATGCAACAGGGATGCCTAGTGCTTATTTTAAGATAACATTGTAATATCTGTATAGTAGAAATCTCCAGCTTTTAGAGTTATAATTTTGTAATCTGAAATCCTCTTTTTTGAATCTAATATTTACTTGTGCTAGCAAGTCTAGAAATGCTTGTTGAAAGACTGGAATGATTAATGTAGATCCTTGAACACTTTCATGCTTTAAAAAAAAAGACAAATTTTGTTTGTTTTAAATAAGAGTAGTGTAACCATGTTAAATACATTTGGAAAATAAAAGGGAAACATCCGACTCAATCTCACTTAAAAAACTGTGGTAGACTTTAATAGTTTTCAAATTTGTGTGGTAAAAATTATATATCTTTCTCTTCTTCCCCACTCGATATATCCTTAGCATTTTACCATGTTGTTATATCATTTAAAGGCTACCACTTTAAAAGGCTGCATAATAGACTCTTAGTCACATGATCCTATTTTATGTGCAGTGCTTATGAAGAAGAGTGGGTGGTACGTTGTTTCTTTAAGAATGTGACTCGTAACAAAAAATAATTATTTTAAGAAAATTGCTAATCATATGGATTTTGATAAATAGGAAAATGATGACCTTCTTATTGTAAAGCAGTGACTTTTTGTTTCTAAACATATGAACCTGAAATTTGAGGAAGTTAGTTGTCAGTTGAAAGAATTATACCATCTATTAGATATTTTGAGACGTTACAAACCAGTTGGGTAGCTGCTTATTTTTGAAGGGAGAATTTTGTTGTGAATCTTAATGTTAACATTATGTTCTTTTATAGATCATGGAGCTTTGTGGTGCAACAAGACTTGGTTATTTTGGAAGAAGCCAGTTCTACATTGCTTTGAAACTTGTAGCTGTTGCCCAGTCTGGTTTCCCTTTAAGAGTGGAAAGTATAAATACAGGTAAATATGGAGTACACTAGTAACTGAAAGAAAATAGGCTTCTATTACAAATGAAGTCAAGTCAATAGAACTCTTGTGTCTTTCTGGTCTTATAATGGCTTGTGTGACCTTGAGTGAAGTGTCATGACTTTATTTCCACTACCTTGCATTTCTCACTTGAAAACATTAGAAAAATACGTCTATTGGCCAGGTGCAGTGGCTCAGGCCTGTAATCCCAGCACTTTGGGAGGCTGAAACGGGTGGATCATCAGAGGTCAGGAGTTTGAGACTAGCCTGACCAACATGTGAAACCTCATCTCCACTAAAAATACAAAATTAGCCAGGTATGGTGGCATATACCTGTAATCCCAGCCGGTGGCTCAGGCAAGGGAATTGCTTGAACCTGGGAGGTGGAGGTTGCGGTGATCCGAGATGCTCCATTGCACTCCACCCTGAGCAACAGCAAAACTCCGTCTCAAAAAAAAAAAAGTCTATCTTCTATTATGGTATAGTATATGTACTTCATCCATATTTGACTGTATTCACTGTTGAAATGGCAGTTTTTTAAAGAATTACTAAAAGTTGTTTAAAAATATTTTAGGTGAATAGTTTTATTAAGGTAAATAGTAAATTATAGCTACTGTCTTCGTATATAGCTTCCCTATTTTCTTCATTTCTAATAAAACAGCATTATACTTTGTATTTTTTGTTTGGGAAGGCTTTGGAGGCCCCAGTTAAAATAAAGAAGTAATGATTAACCTAAACTTTCCGGTTGATAGAGACAGTATTAAAATATTGGCAGACTAAAATCTAGTTATAGACATCTGACCACGTTACAAGTTTGTATAAGTCTGTTTTTACACTGCTATAAAGAAATCCTTGAGACTGGGTAATGTATAAACAAAAGAGGTTTAATTGACTCACTTCCACATGGCTCAGGAGGCCACAGGAAACCTACAATAACAAGAGAGGTTTAATTGACTCATGTCCACATGGCTAGGGAGGCCACAGGAAATCTACAATCGTGGCAGAAGGTGGAGGGAAAGCAAGGCACATCTTACACGGCCTCAGGAGAGAGAGAGCGAGAGCGAGCAAGGGGGAACTGCTACAGACATTTAAACTATGAGATCTCATTAGAACTCACTCTCATGGGAAACCGCCCCCCGTGATCTAATCACCTCCCATGTGGGAATTACAATTTGAGATGAGATTGGGTGGGAACACAGAGCCAAACCATATCAAAGTATTACATCAGATAATTTGTTTTCAAGTATTTAGTGGCTTGTTGATATGAAAGAAGATAGAAATTCTATAAAGATAGGCATTTAAATGCAGGGGGTTCTTTTGTTTTCATAGAGTAAAGGGGAAAAACAAAAATTAAGATTTTTAAAATCTGTGAATTACAGAAAAATTTTTGTAAAAATTCTGTAAATAACGTAATTTGTAGAAATAGTTTTAAGTATCATTTTAGTTTATTGGTCGATGGAGGTTTTCATTGTGGACCTCTAGTTTGCCACACATCATTCTTCTAGTGTTGGGAGTTTACATTCTTTTCAGGTAATTTTGAATTCTTTTACATGTATATTGAATAAGCTTAATAGTTTCCCTCCTTCATATGGAGGTTCTAAAGAGAGACGAAGGTAATCATGTAATGGAGGTAAGTATGCTTTCCTCTGAAATAATTCTGCACCTGTATTTGTTCTGGGCTAAAAGTATGACTTAACGATTACTTGAAGAATTTCTCAGTCTTTCATCTTTCTTCTGTATTTGAAATTGAATTGTAGAATATCTGACTGTAGTAGAGCCATAAGCCAGACTACAGTGGATAGATAGAATACTCGGTACCATGTTTTTGGTAGGTGAACAGTAAGATACGTTTAGGAATTTCTGCCATGAAAATTTGTAAATCTAGTCTCAGACTTAGTGACATTTCTGTGTTTTACTTAGAGCTCTAAAATCTTACTTTAGAGGCCCAGTGTGAGTAGAAGCAGCCTAGGCTTTGGGGTCTAACTGACCTAGGTTTATATCCTAACTGTCAGTCACTACGAGCATGAGCTTGGCATCACAGAGTCTCAGCTGCCTTATCTGTAAATAGGGGTTTTGCAGGGGTACTGTGGTTACTAGGTGAAATAAATATTCAATGACAAGTATAGGGCCAAACATATGTAGACATTTAATGTAGCTATTGTTATCACTCATTAGAAGGACAATTTGGTTTTATTATTTCTTTCTAGGTAAGAGTCTCCCTAAATAATGTAAGGGAGATGATGGTCCAAATTTTGTGGTGATAGACATTTTGTGCCTGTTGTTTTTGTATCCGTTTCACAAAAATTCTAATATCTAATTCATGTCTTACTTTAGTTTTTAATGTATGTGTCCTTTTTTATTTTAAAGTAATAATTATTTTTTGGTTAACAGTAAAGGACCTTCCTCTGCCAAGATTTGTTGCTTCAAAGAATGAACAGGAATCTCGCCATGCAGCCTCATATTCTTCAGATTCTGAAAATCAAGGGTCATATTCTGGTGTAATTCCCCCACCACCTGGCAGGGGGCAAGTGAAAAAGGGATCCGTAACCCATGATACGGTTCAGCCTCGTACATCTGCAGATGCACAGGTAATCACATGCTTGTAAATATTAGCAGTAGATGCCCTCTGCAAATGCTTACACTAAAACGTTTATAGCAACCTTAATAATTAAAATGTCTCCTTAAAATTAAAATTTAAAAATAATATTCTTTTCTAGGAACCTGCATCCCCAGTAGTTTCACCACAGCAATCTCCACCAACTTCTCCACACACATGGAGAAAGCACAGCCGTCATCCCAGCGGTGGGAATAGTGAGAGGCCTCTTGCGGGATCTGGGCCATTTTGGTCTCCCTTTGGTGAAGCACAGTCAGGTATTTAGAGATTGATTGACTGATTGATTAGAGCGTCATTGTGTTGCCCAGGCTGGTCTTGCACCCCTGGGTTCAAATGATCCTCCTGCCTCAGCCTCCTGAGTAGGTGGGGATTATAGGCTTGTGCCACAGAACCTGGCTTAGAGATTTTTTTTAAGTAACAATTATTTAGTTTTGTAAATTGAAGGAAACTTGATAATATTTCTTCAAGAGTGGCCTCCAAGACAGTTTTTAATTGTAAGTTAAGTTAAATAGAAGCAAAAACCAACTATGGAAATTTTTAAGTGGATACATTGCTTTGAAAAGTGGTAATTGCACTTATGGATACCAGATTCTCTAAAGGTATAAAATAAATAATTATTTCCCAGAATATTATGTATATATTATATAAATTTTATTAGTATTGACAAGGAGAGCACAAAATAATTGAAAAGATTTAAATGAGGTATAGTTTGTAATTGAACAGAAAAGATTCCATTTTGGAAATTGTTAGATATCTTCAGAGTTAGAGTTTGAAAGAAAACTTCCTGGTAACGTAAGTTTTTTCTTCAAACATGAGTCAGCATGTTTACCCATTCTCCTTATAGGTTCTTCTGCTGGTGATGCAGTGTGGTCAGGGCATTCCCCACCTCCACCTCAAGAAAACTGGGTCAGTTTTGCAGATACTCCACCAACCAGTACTCTTTTAACCATGCATCCTGCTTCTGTCCAGGTGTGACATTTTATTGGTATTGCATTTTTATTTGCTTCATTCAAAGTATTGCTGCAGTCATTGTTTTTATATTTTGCTGTTGCGGATTTTATAAATGCAAATTCACTCATTTATTTAAAAAAAACAAAATTCTGCTCTGTGCATTTCAAGTCTGTTATCATTGGAATGTTTCAGCTGATTTTATTTCTGTTTCTGATTTCCTAGTGAAGTTTTGAAAGGTTTCTGCATCTGGAAATATATATGCTTGGCTTTCTTAGCACATTTTCATAACTTTCTGTTGCTTACATAATTGCTATCATTCTACACATTTCTGTAATCACTGTGCAAAAACATATCCAATAACCTGACTGTAACAGATATGTGGTTTTACATTTTAAATGTCCACAAAAAGCAAGTTTTACTTTCAAAGATAAATAACCTAGCAATCTTGGTCCATATAGTCATGTAGGTAGATATTATACTGAGGAAAAAATGTTTCATTACAGGACCAGACAACAGTACGAACTGTAGCATCAGCTACAACTGCCATTGAAATTCGTAGGCAATCCAGTAGTTATGATGATCCCTGGAAAATAACAGATGAACAAAGACAGTATTATGTAAATCAGTTTAAAACCATTCAGCCTGATCTAAACGGATTTATTCCAGGTGAGTCTTTGAAAACAGAAGTTCTTCTAGATGGGACAGGACAGTCTCAATTTCATAATCCCAGAGACATTGTTTTATTGGTCATAGATTTTAATTATACAAGATAATTATCAAATAATTTTCTAAAAATTTATAATCACTGGGGGCCAAAAACATGACATAATTCACATATTAAAAATATCTTTCCCCAATTGAAAAAGTCTAAGACTCATATTCTGTTCATGGATCCATAAGTTCAGAATAACATTAAACAACACTGTTTTAATATTTCAGGATCTGCAGCTAAAGAGTTTTTTACAAAATCAAAACTTCCTATTCTTGAACTTTCTCATATTTGGTAAGTGTGGTATATCATTAGTTGGGTAACTGGGTTGCTTCCAAGGAGTTTCTAATAGATTTTAGAGCCCTAAAAAATAAACGACTAACCCCTTCTAGAATGTTGTCAACTTAGTATTGCCTTACAATAGCCAGCTTCTCTCTTATTCTGCAGAAAAAGAAATAAGTGATACTGATAAAGTAGTACTTTATAAAGAGCTCAAATTCTTTAAGCTGTATCAGGTGTTTTTTTGTTGCTAGTGTAATGCGTGAGATAAATTTAGTTTGCACATACATGATTATATTATCCCATTTGGTTTTTTTATCAAGTTTAGTAAGTCCTATACCATGCCATAAGATTAGGAATGGTGTTAGCTTCCATTTAAACAGAGACTGAGAATAGCTGTATTGGAATATTGTTGGAATTAGCCATAGAACACAAAGTGCAATCACAAAAAAAGCAGCTGGGCTGGGCGCAATGGCTCACGCCTGTAATCTTTGCACTTTGGGAGTCCGAGGCAGGCAGATTGCGTGAGCCCAGGAGTTTGAGACTAGCCTGGGCAACATGGTGAAACCCTGCCTCTACTAACAATACAAAAAATTAGCTGGGTGTGGTGGCACATGCCTGTAATCCCAACTGTTGGGGAGGCTGAGGCATGAGAATCGCTTAAACCTGTTAGGTGGAGGTTGCAGTGAACTGAGATTGTGCCACTTCACTCCAGCCAGGGTGACAGAATGAGACTGTCTCAAAAAAGAAAAAGGCTGGGTGTGGTGGCTCACCCCTGTAATTCCTGCACTTTGAGAGGCCAAGGCACACGGATTGCTTGAGCCCAGGAGTTCAAGACCAGCTTGAGCAACATGGCGAAACCCTGTCTCTACAAAAAATAAAATTAGCAAGATGTGGTGGTGCATGCCTGTAGTCCTGGCTACTTGGGAGGCTTACGTGGGAGGATTGCTTGAGTCCAGCAGGCAGAGTTTGCAGTGAGCTGAGATCATGCCATAGCACTCTAGCCTGGGCAACAGAGCAAGACTCTCTCAAAAACAAATAAATGGTTATCAGATAAATATAAATGTTAATTCCTCTGTATATCAATGTGTTTCTCTACATTCTACATCATTTTTAATAGGTTTTTGGTACCATGGCATGCTGTAGTACGAGGTAGGTAGATAACACCTAAAACTGAAAACTCAAAAACTAGTAATATTATGTATGCTATTTATAGTTTAAGGCAATAAAGACAAAAGTGGTTGTCTGTGTAGCTAGGAAAGGGTATAGACAGCAAGGTGGAGAGGCTGTATTTTTGTTTTAAACCTTGCAATTCTGCTCAATGATTTAAAATACATACATATTGGCCAAGTGCAGTGGCTCATGCCTGTAATCCCAACACTTTGGGAGACTGAGGTGGGTGGATCACTTGAGGTCTGTAGTTCAAGACCAGCCTGGCCAACATGGTGAAAACCCATCTCTACTAAAAATATAAAAATTAGCCAGGTGTGGTGGTGCATGCCTATAATTCCAGCTACTCAGGAGGCTGAAGCAAGGAAATCACTTGAACCCAGAAAGTGGAGGTTGCAGTGAGCAGAGATCATGCCGTTGCACTCCAGCCTGGGCCATAGCAAGACTCTGTGTCAAAAAAATAAAAATGAAAAATGAGATAAAGTACATACATGTTGAACTTTGAAAACATAAAAACATTTTTAAGATGTCACTAACTTACTACATATGCCTTCTAAAAATGCATGTGAGTTATAGGTCATTCTTTTTGGTGACCTTAATTATTGGGGCCACTTTTTAGAGAATTTCAAACACACGGGAAAGTTTAAAGAAAAGTACCATAAACACTCATATGCCACCACCTAGATTCTGCAGTTAACATCTTGCTACATTTGCTGTATTACACATCTTTTCGTGTATGGGAGTTTTAGAATTACTGATTTTTTACAGTTTCTCATGGAAAATATTTCTCTTGCTTTTTTTTTTTTTTTTGAGAAATACAAGGATCCAAAGTGAAATGTGATTATATTCACAATAAACTTATCTTCTAGGGAACTCTCAGACTTTGATAAAGATGGTGCATTGACACTGGATGAGTTTTGTGCTGCTTTTCATCTGGTGGTTGCTAGGAAGAATGGCTATGATTTACCAGAAAAACTTCCTGAAAGCTTAATGCCCAAACTGATTGATTTGGAAGATTCAGCAGGTAAGATTGGGAGCTGAAGAGAGCTGTTTGCATGCCTTGATAAATATAATGCTTGATTCTGAAAGAATCAAGATAGAGGTCAACCTTAGCTTAGCAGCTTAGATATTTCATCAAGTGTACATAGATTTGTCATCAGAATAGGATATATGAGCTAAACTTGGATTTGTCTTATTCACTCTACTTTAAAAAATAAAGACAAGTAATATGTACCACTATTTCACCTTTATACTTGTGACTTGCTGAGATTTGAAGAGCATTTCATTGTCTTACTTTGCTATTCTTTAATTGTGATATATATTATATCAAGTGGGTAAAGTAGCCCATCTTCATTATAAACATTTTTCTCTTTAACACATCTTAATTTGTTGAAGAGAAATTACTTAGTTCATCATTAGACCTTTATAGCTGTGAGCATTTTCCTTTAAAATGCCAAGCTCTCTTCTGCAGACTCTAAAGAAATCTTGACTTTTGTGTTTGATTTTAGACAGTGCTGTGTTGTTAGTAAGAATGCTAAATGTTCATATTTATTGGGACCTTTTTTTTTGTGAGACGGAGTCTCGCTCTGTTTCCAGGCTGGAGTGCAGTGGCGAGATGCTGGTCCACTGCAACCTCCGCCTCCTGGGTTTAAGTGATTCTCCTGCCTCAGCCTCCTGCGTACTGGGACTACGGGTGCGTGCCACCACACCCAGCTAATTTTTGTAATTTTAGTAGTAATGGGATTTCACCATGTTGGCCAGGATGGTCTCAATCCTTTGACCTTGTGATTCGCCCTCCTCGGCCTCCCAAAGTGCTGGGATTACAGGTGTGAACCACCATGCCCGGCCTGGACCTTTCTTTAAAAAGAAAAAGAAAATCAGGGCCTAAAAATTAGTAAATTTTTCTTAAATTCTGAGCGAATAAAAGGAAATCTAATGTTTAATTCTTAATGAGCCTAATTAAAATAAATTATTGTCTTCAGTGTTTCTATCTAAACTCTCTTTTGGAGATGACGATGGAAGGAATTTTATACTTTTAAAGGGGAAGTTAAAATAGAATTTGTCTCTGAAAGGGGCATTTATCTATCAGGCAGTATGTCTTTAAAAATGTACATGGGTCTGACTTAGTAGTCTAAATTACACAGAAGGAATCAGATGCATGAATTTACTGTCACAAAGAAAACAGTCTCGTTGGAGTACACAATCTGAGTGTTCTTCTAGTTTTGCTAATGTGATTTTGGGCAAATTCTGATCATTTACTGTATTTTCCCCTTCTGTTTCTCCTCCGGAAATGTGGATTTGATGCCATTCACATTTCAGGACCTGAATTGCACACTGATATTCTATCAACCAGTAGGTTGATTCTAAAAATATAGCATTGATTTTAATTTTTTAAGCAAATTTCTCTATGATAATCCTAGGATTTTGGGATCATTTCAGGTAGTTGTGAAGTGTCATCCTCTAACTTGAGCTGAAAGCTAAGTATCTTTATTAGGTAATTTTGCTCCAAAGTACTTTGATTTACCTACTTAAGAAATAATAGCAACATCTTTGTTGTTTGCACTATGAGAGTAACCAAAAGAAGAAAATGTGGTAACTTCACACTTTCAGTATCACTGATTTAAAAATTGTACTTGTACCTACAGCTTTTATATGACTTCAAGCCTTTGAAAACTGATAGCATAATAATACAAGAAAATAATTTAAACAAAGTTTAATCTGTTGTAGGTGATTTTGTAGAGGCTTGTCTGATTCTGTCGTCTGTTATATTCATTGATGACTCTGGCTTTTGCATATATTTAATGGGTTTCTTTTTCCTTTAATGTAAATAAAAATCAAGCTCTTTGTAAATTTGATCTATAAGGTGATGGTTCAAGAAGTTTTTTTCTGGGCATTTCTCTTTTTGTCTTATTTTACACCTGTTATATCTGTTTAACAAAGAGAGACTGATTTTATTGCCTGTTTATATCTGTGTACTATTGTTCTAAATATAATTGTAAACGTATCACAGTCCCAGATTGTTTTTTCCCCCTCCCAACGTATGGTTTTCTGACCAAACTTACTGTAAACATAGGGATCACACAGTATTACACTGAAATCTGCTTTACATATTTACAAATGATAAATTTTGGAATTCTGTTGATTCTGGGATGAGCCAATATAAATTATCATTTTTTTTTCACCTATCATAAACCTGAGATTCACATGACAAAAAGTCCTTTGAGTATAGAAGTTATCTTGTGACACTGTGGGTCAGTCATAAAAATCATTGTAAAAATAGCTGTGTTTTTAAAGGTCACAGTTAAGAGGGTAATACTCAAATAGTTTCTTTTCACTGATAATATAATTTATTATAAATAATCCCTCTGTGGAGCCTTTCTGACTATGGGAGAGGCGGTTTCTCTCTTTTCTGATCTCTCATAGCATCTTCTACATGCTAATTACTGAAACATACCACACTAAATCCTGTTTGCCCCCCCCTTCTATCACTATACTCTGAATTCCTTGAAACAAGGGAAGTGTATCCTATTTATTGTAGTATGCTCAAAACCTATCACCTTGCCAGGCACTGCACTAATACTGGATGAATTAATTCTGTATGTATGCCATTTTCAAAGAAAGGTATCTTCTAGACATTTTCCTACCTTTGAAAATATAGTGATTTGTTATACTCCATTTATGATGTTGGAACATACTAAAGCATTAGTTCTACAAATATTCTGTACTTATACAGTTTAACTCTTAAAGGCAAATAGATGGTGAGCAGTGGTCACTTGAGTTACAACTCCTTGGAGTAACGTGCTAGGCTTTCTATAGACATGAAAACATGAGTGGCTAAATGTGCATTTTTTTCCCAAAATTACTTGAACAGGTATACAGGGTTAAATCATAGATAAAATAGAACTATTAAGGATTATAGGTAGAAGCACTTCTGTAGACCTGAATTAGAATATTTAATAAATAACATCAGCACTGAATTTGTCACCTAAAATAAATAGAAAGGGAAACTTGATGTTTGTTGTCTTATAGAAGAAAGCATGCAAAAATTCATCTGCAGAATGAGCTTTCTGAAGCTGAACTGAAGAATATTTAGCAGAATGTTTGTCTTCTTAAAAAAAAAAAAAAAAAAAAAAAAAGAAGGAGAAGAAGAAGATTGGCCAGGCGCTGTGGCTCACGCCTGTAATCTCAGCATTTTGGGAGGCTGAGGCGGGTGGATCACGAGGTCAGGATATTGAGACCTTCCTGGCTAACACAGTGGTGAAACCCCATCTCTACTAAAAATACAAAAAAATTAACTGGGCGCGGTAGCAGGTGCCTATAGTCCCAGCTACTGGGAAGGCTGAGGCAGGAGAATCGCTTGAACCCAGGAGGCAGAGGTTGCAGTGAGCCAAGATGACACCACTGCATTCCAGCCTGGGTGGCAGAGAATGACTCCATCTCAAAATAATAAATAAATAAATAAATAATAAAAGATTAAGATGGACCTGCTACAAACGGGTTGAGGTGCTATACATTTTAATGTCCAAAGAATCTTCTCCTTTGAAGCACAGTTGCAGTCTTACGTGGACTTTGTGATTGTTTGATACATATCTTTCTCTAGAAAGATATGTAGACTAGAGCCTTCTAGGAAGGTAGAAACTGGATCAATTTTGTTCATTGTATCTCAGTGCTGGCAAGGTGCAAATTGAGTATAGGAATAGACAGACATTCAGATTGTTGAAATGATTAAGTGACTGAGCCAATGATTTTTAACTGTTTTCTAGCTCTACACCACACTGCTAACATATGCAACTTGGCAATCTCTGTCTGAGATGCTGAAAGAAGGAAAGGGATGTGAGCTCCCTGTCTACATCTCCTTCTGCATGATCACTACTTTACACAGTAGATTTGGGCACATGTTTCATTGCTGTTTATAAGGTGCATTGCATGGATCCACAATCTCTAAAACTATTTCCAACATGAATTTTTTTTAAGCCAGAGAAGAGAAGGCACATGGGTCTTTCCATGAATAGTTTACTAGAAACCGTGTAAATTCAGATTTGAGACTACCTTGGTACAAGTAAATTACTGTTGGGAGTTTCTCTTAACATTCATCCATAAATTTTTACCATATATATATAAAAACCTACACACAGGTATTGGTGTATATACAGATAAAATCATACTATACATCCTTGATTTTTTTTTCTTATAATGTTGGACATGTTTTTACTTTATTATTGATGCGCTTTGGCCGTGTCCCCACCTAGATCTCATCTTGAATTCTCACGTGTTGTGGGAGCGACCTGGTGGGAGGTAATTGAATTATGAGGGCAGGTTTTTACTGTGATGTTCTCGTGGTAGTAAATAAGTCTCACAAGATCTGATGGTATTATAAAGGGAGTTGCCCTGAATAAGCTCTCTCTTTGCCTGCTGCTGTTCATGTAAGATACGACTTACTCCTCCTTGGCTTCCGCTGTGATTGTGAGGCCTCCCTAGCCATGTAACTGTAAGTCCGTTAAACCTCTTTCTTTTGTAAATTTCCCAGTCTTGGGCATGTCTTTATCAGCTGTGTGAAAATGGACTAATACAATAATATATAGAGCTATCACATTTATCATTCAAGGTATTCCATAATACGATGTGTACCTTAATTTAACCATTTCTTATTGATAGATTTTGGGATTGTTTTCTGGCTTTGCCTTTAAAACACTGCTGCAGTGAATATGCATATATATATATATATAAAATCTACCTATCTTTGTTTTGAATGAATAACCCAGAATCTTTGTTTTTGAAAATTCATTATCTAGGTACCTTTAGTTGCAGAGGAAAAAATAATGAAAATATGCACTAATGCTTGTCATTAACTTTCTAATTAAGAAATTACTTCTCAAACCAACCCTCCACCCCAAACCTACTCTGTCCCTGTCTGTCTTCCCCCCGCCCCCTATCTCTTTCTGTTATGTGGCATTTCTTTCCAGATATCTGGGTATTGTAGCTGATAAATCAGTACGGTTGAATTACAGATATTAATAAAGATGC